GGTCATAATTAAATCGCGAAAGCCCGATCGATTTTCTTAATTTTCGTTCTCGGGAATACGCGCATCGAATATTATGGCTCACCATCGTCCACGCCCGAGCTGATCCTCTTCGATCCGCGTACCCGTTTCTGTTGCGAAAATTTGAAAGTAACAACGATAATAATTTCGATGTTTTTCTTTTTAATCAAATTAATTAAATAACAAAATAAAATATCTGCGTTTCAGCGTACAGAAGTGGATCGATTTTAGCATCGTTTTGGCACACGTACGTATTTGGAATTACTCGGTGGTGAATTTAATCAACGTTGTCGATTATATTTGTAAGAAGAGAGGAGGGGATCGTAATGATTCCTCCGTATCACTGATCGATCGAATCATCGAGGCGGAGAATGAGAAAAATATGGATACGAGCAACGATCCGACCAGATTGTTGAAAGGGTCGAGCAAATCGTTGTTGGCGGACAACAAAGAAGGGGCGATCGAGCGAGCGGTGAGAAAGGACGCGTGGAAGCGAGGGAGGAAGGGCTTGGAAGAGGCGAAGATGGAGGAACGAAATTTGGAGGAGAAGATGGAGGAACGAAATTTGGAGACGAAGATGGTAGAGTCGGAGGAAACGATGGTGGATCCGTCGTTGGAGGAGAAGTTTTTGGTCTCGATCTTGGAGGAGAGCGGCATGCTGAAGGCGACCTCGAAGGAACTGTTGAGCATTCAGATGAACGTGTTGAGGAAAAGCGTCCACATCTCCAAAGATTGTATCTCGGAGCAAGAGCACGAGGACGACGAGAATTTGGTCGAGAACACGGCCGATTCGAAGGAAGAGAAAACTGCCGATTTCCACGGAGAGGAGGAGAAGGAGGGCGAAGCGAGGAAGAAGGAAAGAGCGGAGGAAAGAGGGGAGGAAAGAGCGGAGGAAACGGTGGCCGACAAGGTCGAGGCGCGTTCCAACGATTTGAAAGATGATCTTCCGAAAGAGAAGGAGGAAAACGTTGGAGGAACGTCTCCAGACGCGAACTTGTTGAAGAACGAGAACACGACCGAATCCACCATCTTCTTGAGCCGATCGTAAGTAAGATTACGACGGAAGAGGAAACGCGATTCGTTTCTATCGTTCCGCTTATTATTCTAACGGTGCAGTTGAACGGCCACCGTGCGATCGCTCGCTTCGAATCGCACGATTTAACGCTTTCTAACGCGTTTTTTTTCTTTTTTTTTTTTTTTTTTTTTCCGTCTTCTCTGGCCGTCGAGTTAGAATCGCGCGACAAAAAAAAAAGAAAAAAGAGAAGAAAGATGGATTCGCGGTGATTCTAATTACCGGACGAGCGAGGGGAGAAGGAGCGGTATGCGCGAAATAATAAAATTGGAAAATTGAAAAATTCAGTTCAGCGACGAGTCACGGTAAGCAAGAGGACGATTTGAACGCCATAATTCGACGCATGATAATGATGGAGTTGAAGAGGCACCGGAAGAAGGAGACGGTGTTGAAGAGGGCGCACTCGGACACGGAGAGCACGCTGGCGAGGAAACGGCGGAGCGAGGAAAGCAGGTATCGTCATTGATTTGGACGTGGAAACGTTCGCAATTTCGATAAACACGCGGAATTGTTTCAGAACAGGTCTGTTCGGCGGCAAAGGCCAAACGTTTTT